GGGTGTATTAGGTTTTGGCAAATGTTCTAGAAACTCCCTGCAGTTTTTAAAATTGTGATAGGCCTATTTTAGGGCTTGCATTTTAATTTTCATGTGTTTCCCATCTCAGCATGTCAGAAAGTGTTGTCACTTTTGTGTATTCTTTACCATAAGAGGCTTCAAGAGTCACAAAAAGGGGTTCATATTTTAAATAGTGTCTCTATGGTAAATCTCTCTCAGAAATTTAGTGTGACATGGAGTCAAAAAAGTTTAAGTATATAAAGAAAATGAGAGCTATGGGAATCCACTTTTTACCAATGGCAGAGTTGTGATAAAGGCAGTTGTGAGATGAGAGCCAGGAACTAGAAATCATAAACTGTAGACTAGAGACATGCATTGGTCCTCGACATTTGACCGGTTGTTGAACAAAGATGCCCACGTGAGTGCTTCACTTAATGACGGCAATCCTGGTATTCCTGGTTGCAATTGTTAAATAATTTTGTAAGTTGTAAAGTGGACATAATACCAGCTAAGGAATGTGGGATGACTGGGGAGAGAGGCACTAGGAGGCTCAGGAGCTGAAAATCTTCCCTGCTGAAATCCATGTAAGATTTTCAGGTTCTGAGTGGAGAGACACACATATGTGGCCAATGCTGGACTTCCCGGGGCTTCCCCATTCTCCTGTGTGCTTGTTTCCTTACTGTGTTGCGTCTCTACTCAGAAACTGAAAATCCCCCTCCCCCCTTTGAAATCCAAGTAGGATTTTTAGTCCCTGAACATAGAGACTCTTGGGTGCTGCCTGCACCAGATCTCCCAGGGCGTCCCACACCTGTCTGAGGCACTTCATGTTCCTTATCTTATCTGCGCTGCCTCTCTGCTCTCTGATTGGATTTCAGGTCCCTCTTGTCTCTGAGGGAAGGCAGAAAGAGGCTGAAAGCCAGCAGTAAAGATTGCCAATGGCGATCACATCATTATGGAGTGCTTGGCAACCAGTCATAAGTGGGATCAGGTTGCCAAGCACCCAGATTGCAATCACATTACCACAGGAGTGGTGGTACAGTGTTTTGTGATGGCCGTAAATGCTTTACAGACCATGAATGACCCTTTCCAAGGCCATTGTAATTATAGACCATGGTAAAACAAATGGTCATAAGTCAAGAGCTTCCTGTACTGTACTGTGCTTAACCAGCCAAACTCTCAGCTTGATAAGGAAATTTCTATCTTGTGTCCTGCTTACGGGAGACCAGTGACTCAGGCTGAATGAGTAGAGTCCGTGTAGGGTTCCCTAATTTTTACTACATGGCAAAGGTTCCCATCCACAGTTTGAGGGCTTGGAGCAGGAGGACAGCATCAACTCTCAATTGTAGATAAGGAGAGGAAGATGACACTCAAAAACATTCTGGTTTGGAATGTAGAGTACTCCTTCATGCCTGTATTCTATTAGTGTCACTATGTTTCTGAAATACTGCTTAGGACGTAACAGTGTGGTTATTTCTACCTCCCAATCCTCTCAGCACAAGCCATGAATATTTTCTCAGCATAGTATGTAAGGGTGGGTACATTGAATAAAAGGCATGTGCTGTTGCATGAGCTTATAGCCAAGAACTGAAGGCATTTTCAACCTCTATTATTACTTTATAAGCTATACGAATTCTTAGCCTGCATTGGTAGTCACTGGAGAATGCATAATACATTTATATAAAATGACAATTGCTTCAGCTTTAGGCCTGTGAAGAGGTAAATGAGTTCATGTAAATTACATATCCTAGCAAGCACTGTACGAAATAACAAAAGATGCTTTCAAGGGTGGAAAGGAGTGCTGTTCAGTTTTCTATTGTGTAGTGTGTCAAGTTTTGAAATTTATCATGAGCTTTGTATTAAGCAGAGCAAACAAGATAAGGTTATATTATATATCTGGGAGAAAAAAAATCATACAATATTTGTGGTTAGTAGATATGTGTCAGTTAAGATAGATCTTAAATCAGCTGTCAAGCAGATGGCTGACTTTGGAATTTGGGCTGTTACCAAAAAGAAAAGAATGTTGGTTATGAATGGAAATAACTTGGCTTTATTTGGTACCTGGCTATGAATTTCATTGGGTACAGATCAAAGTTATTTTGCTAAATTAAGTAGTGTCTTGAAATATGTAAAACGATTTTAAATTGTATCATTGGGTGAATCGTACACTTTTGGCCAGTGTAATGGGCAATGATCCAATTTACTGTAGGTACCCTCTTAATTTTTTTTCCAGTAAGACGTGAGCAACAGTCTCTTTCTATGGAATAAGTGCTATTTTCCAATTTCCTTCAGTAATTCCTTTCCTTTTAGCAAACAGTTTGTTACATTGATAATAAATATTTCAGGCAATACTCAGTATTTTCATTTTCATGCTCATTCCTTTTAGGCAATAGTCCACATCACTTTTGCTTTTTAGAGTCACAAAGTCATTATATTTCATCTGATTCTGTTGCATCATTTTTTTTGCCCAGTGACTAGCCTTGATGTATAAATAAGAAATGAAGAAGTGGGTTTACAAGAATTTCTTTCTCATGGCATGTAACAGTGAATATTTATTATGATCTTCAGTGCAAATCATGAGTTTGCATGGTAAGGACTTCTGCCTTTTTAATAAAAAAAACCTGGTAGATGCAGAACATGTATTCTTTCATGTCCTATAAAGAGATGCTCTTCTTTCATAAATGGGGATCAACCATCCTTGAATTCAATTTCATATTGAGATCACAGAATATAATTTTATATTACAAAATGTAATTTAGGAGTTATGAGTTGTATATCTAAATGAACAATTATGGTGAAACTGGACAGCTCTTATACCTCTCTTATTGTGAATTACAAAAAATCTGAATTACAAAAAATTATGTAAATCCAAAAAGATATTTTATTATGTAACTATTAAATGAAATTATTTTTTCCCATTTGATACTTATATACCAGTTGAAATTGATAGGGCCATTATAGTTGGTCAAAGGCTTTTTATATTTAAGGTTAAAATGACTAGTGCATTTTTGGTGCATTTCTCACTAAAATACAATTTAAAATTCCAATAGACTCTGCTATTGATCCACCTTTAGGAAATCTATCTTGATCCAAATTTATATAATCAGTAGTTAATCTGCTTTGATCTTTTGACCAAATAAATTATAAAAGTATTTTGACTTTATTCAAAATATAGTTGGTTGATAGGATTCAGCTCTCTGTTAGTGTTTGGTGTCATAACTAACCACTTGATAACTTGAATCAGAAATGTGATTATCCTGTAGTGCTGAGGCAAACAAAAGAATGAAAACAGAGGGCAATTATTTTTGAAATATTTTGATAAACAGTTAAAGTAATATCAATTTATTTAATTGTTATATTTCTTTGGAAGATAGTTGGTTGCAATATGTTCTATGAGCTGCTTAGCTAGCAGTGACTGTAATTGAGTGTAGAAAATCATTTATTTTATTTAAATGTACATGCTCTGATGAATACAGTTAGCATAAAGCTGTATACTTTATATATTTATTTATTTATTTTAACATTTCTCTCTGAATATGCTTTAACTGAGTTATTTTAATCTGTGAAGCTTTCTTTTTTAATTTATTTGCTAATAAGTCATACGTCTTATTGCCATGCTAAAATTTCTGTTAAATACATATCTACTTGGAGGCAATTTTATTACATTCCAAGACATCTAATCCTCTTCTCTTTCCCTCTAATCCTTTTCCCCTTTGAATCATTTTTATTAATGTCTTTATAACCTATATTTCTATATTTTAACTTTACTCTCTTCTTTTAAATAAACCAAAAAATGACACACACAATAATTAACATCATTAAAATTATAATTAACATTTCTTAATAAAACACTAGTTTTTAATATTATGTGTGTGTGTAAATATATGTGTTTGCATGTGTTAACAAAACAGCTATATAAGTATTACTATGGTATAGAAGGCTATATATTTTCATAATTTAAAACCTATATTATACCAATTGGTAGGAAGATTCCAGTGGTTGCATGGAAAAAAAGGTACTATGTCCGGAAGCTATTAAATACATGGGGATTATTATTCCCAGGAAAATATTTACTTTAGTAGGTAACAACATTTTAAAATACATTACCCAAATGAAACATATTGAAGAGAACAATAAGAAATGCCCTGTTTATGCAGAATAATTAGTGTTATAAAAATGAACCTTGAATCTCAACATAGATACATATTTTTAAAGTAATGCTTATGTTGGTTTAATATTGATAAGCTAATGATTAAATAAATTCTCCTAGAAAGAACAAACATTTCAGCCTCTGAGGTTTTCCAATGGCAGATCTCTGTGATTGTTTTGAAACAGCAGCATTAAGAGATTTCTGGATTCCTATATATCAGTTTCAGGAAATCTCAGAAAGTCTTAATTAACATAGTGAGTTTTTAACATATTATAGTTAGATGATAAGGGTCTTATAATTTGTCTTGAATGTAAACTGCATCGGCATAAGCAAGAGTCCTTCTCTTCCCCACCTTATCCAAATTTAAATCCCATATCAGCCTAGCCACTCTATGGATATGATGAAGTGAAGTGTGGCGCTTATGTCTTTAAATAAAATTAATTAGCTGAAAAAGATACTAAGAGAGTTCTTCAGACTCCGAAAAGATTTAAAGCAGGGGTGTCAAACTCGTGTCATCACAGCATCAAAATTAGGTTGTAATGATTCTTAAGTAAAATTGGCTTAATGACAAGATGTTTACATTTTGAAAAAATGTGCAGTTTGTTCATGCGTTTTGATATACACTTCAAATGGAAGAAGATTTTGCCTGCCTATCTTGCATATTGGACGTTAGTTTTGTTGGAATGAAATGAAACGTCTGTAAGTAAACAAGCTCAGAGAACACCAAGGACTCCACAATACAGAAATGGATTTAATCTCAATTTGTAAATAGTATTGTTGCAAAAAAATTTGTGTGTAAATTTTGGCTTGTATATTGTGACAGTCATCCATTAATTTTTTAATATGCTTTTAGACTTACAGAATTTGAAGATACACCTGCAAGTCAACTAACAATAGATGAGTTCATGACCATTGACCTGGAAGAGGAATGCGATCCTCCTTCATTTACAGCTGGTCAACGAAAGATAAAGATTCAACAGGTGAATCTTTCAGTTTTTCATTTCTCTAATTCTTAATTCCTTTTGTAATAGGAGTTATAAAGCTCTGCCATGCTATCTTTGTAATTTTATTTTTCACATCTGTAACACCATGTAAACTATGCAGTAATGTCTGCAGTTCCCTCATTGCATCAGATTCTAATTCAATGAAAACATTCTGAAAAACAAAAAATATTCTTTCCTACTTATCTTGATCATTAAAAAATATAATCTTTTTGTTATTTTTTGGGGCTAAAATTTCTCTTAAAGCACTTGAGACTTTTGCAAAACAGCTGTCTGATCCTTCTAGCAGCAATCAGAACTGAAAAAGAACAGTTGAGGTTCAAGTCTCTCTGAGCTCTGATTAGTAAACAATAGTACAAGAATTTCTTATACTTTTGTTTCAAATGTGAATACACACATGTGCATGCACACAGACAAAGACACAGGCACACACATGGCATTCAAAGCAGTTAGCTGGTTGCTCCCCCCCCTCCTGTGCCTGTGCCACATAGTGGAGGAAGCTTCTCTTTTACATCTGGATATTGTTTATACAATGGCAACAAGATTCTTTATCAAAATCCACTATTACAGTATCACTACCCATATATCATCTGATTCCATTTCAATGGTTCTTCCCTAGTGTACTGAATGTATAAGAAAGGCATTTCTCAGTCACATTAATGGGCTTGCATTATGTCTAGGTCAGGTATGGTGAACCTATGCCACAGATGGCATGCGGAGCCATTTGTCAGGGCACATGAGGTGTTGCCCTGTCAGCCAGACAGCGCGCATGTGCACGCTGGCCAGCTACGTTCAGCATTTTTAAAAGCCATTTTATCCCTCCCCAGGCTCCAGAGGCTTTATAGGAGCCCGGGGAGAGTGAAAAGAGCCTCCCCTGCCCCCCCCCCCACGAGGCCCTCCGGAGGTTTCAGGAGCTTACCTGAAGCCTCCAGAGCACAAAAAATCAGCCCTATGGGCAAACTGGAAGTTCGGGAACGGACTTCCGGTTTGCTTGTAGGGTCGGTTTAAGCCCTCTGGAGGCTTCAGGGACCTTCAGGAGGCTTCCCTGAAGCCTCCGGAGGACTAAAAAGGAACCTATGAGCAAACTGGAAGTCACTTCAGGTTTGCTCGTAGGGCTGGCTTAAACCCTCTGGAGGCTTAAAGGTCCCTAAAGCCTCCGGGAGGGGGGGGAGCTGTTTTCGCCCTCCCCAGGCTCCATAGGACAAAAAAGGCAAAAAATGCAAAAAGGGGGGGACGCCTCTCATGCATGCATGTGCACTGCGGGGGTCACACATTGCATTATGGATGCAGCACGCCCGCGCACCCCTCCCCGCGTGCTCCTCCTTTTTTATGGCACGTGAGCCAAAAAAGGTTCCCCATCACTGGTCTAGGTACTTCTGAGTCCTTGGGTCAAACAGGGATAATGTGGCTAGAGGCCTTTTTATGGGAGGGGAATTGGCAGTGGCTGTTACAGAGAGGGGTGATGTTTTGCCTCTTAGAGGAATATCCCTGGGCTTGGAGCTTTTGGATAAGATAATCAGGTCTCCAACTTTTCCTTTTTAGGGAAGTTTATTGAAATGATAGTTGTGGAAAAAACTATGGTGTAGCCTAGATGAAGTAGTTTACCTAATTCCTTTCCAATCAGGATTCCGGTCTGGAAATGAGATGGAAAGCAATGGACCTGGTCCTCTTATATCTCTCAGTGGCTTTTTTTTACACCATTGACTATAGTGCTGTTGTTGATATAGTACTGTACTTGATCATTTTGTGGGGTTGAGGAGTTGAGGCACTGCCTTGGTGGTTTTTCTCCTTCCTCAATAACAGATTCAAGTTAGTGGTAGTAGAGTCTGAGAGTCAGCCCATTGGTCCCAGATTTGTGGAGTTCCACAGGAGTTAGTCCTTTCTTGCTTTTTAACATCTATGTGAAGCCACTGGATGAGACCATCCAATTATTTGAGGTGTAGTGTCATCAGTCTGTATCTTCACTCTGTCTGCAGAGCCAGTGTACTAGGTGTACTAGGTAAGGCATCAGTCTACAAACCGGGAGACTGAGTTCTAGTCTTGCCTTAGGCACAAAACTGGGCGACCTTGGGCTAGTTACATTTTCTCAGTTTTAGGAAAGGAGCCAGTGACACACCTCTTCTGGAAAATCTTGCCAAGAAAATTGCAGGGATTTGTCCAAGTAATCTCAGAAAATCATCCATAGTTGAATGAAATTAAAAATCATTAATCTGAATTGGGCAAAAGTGTTCTCGCTTATCTGAAAAACGGTCACAATTGTTTACTGTGGTTTTACTGGAGTTTACTTGTGCTGCACAAATTCTCCTAAGCAATGCATACTTCACCTCATAGTGTAGTGGCAAATGTATTCTGACTTAAGATAGTTGGTTTTTTTCTTATGATACATGTAAGCTTGTTATACTGCATGTAGATTTCTTCTCTTATGTATGCCACATTCATTCTTCTACCCCAATTAGCAAAGGCCACAGCTGGAAAGGTATTTGCTTGATAATTAGTTCCAACTCCCCCTCGCTTCCAAGTTCTGCTTTCATTAAAATTCTGTGTTTTAACTGGTCCAGTTTAAAATAAGCATTGCTATTAATTATGATCAAATTGCATTGGAGTTGTTCCAAAATGTTGCTTGCCAAGACATGCAGACTGTCACTGAATCAGTTTTCTGAGATAGATATTTGTGAACAATAATTAATTTTGCATACAAATTATTACAGTTGTTAAAAAAATAAATCTTGGGGCTGGATTGAATTTCCCTCCAGAATATTTTCTATAGAACTTTGGGTATAGATAGTCAAAATCTAGTCTTTACTTGTGACATATAGAAGTGTTTTTTAAAAATATTTGTCAGACCTTAGCTGAACTTTATCCTGTTGAATGTTGTTGAACACTTGGACACAGTATAATGCCATCATAGAGAATTGGAGCTCAATTCAAAAAGATTTTTGCAAAATGAGCAAAGGAGGGGTATGGAATGTATTTACCATAAGGTAATTGCCACATCTGTAAAGCATTTTCTGATGAAAATATGTAGCAAGTGAAGATGAATGGCAAACCCCTCAACTGTAGTCTTGCTCCTGGAAAGTAATGCTTGCCTGGCAATTAAACTTAAGGGAGAAAATAATTGCCAACAATGGACCTTCAAGGCTCCAGGGAATAGATTTGGAGCTGAGGAAAATATTCAGAAGGCTGAAGCCCCAAAGGCACAGGCTTAGCAACATCAGTAGATAATAATAATACCGCCTAATATACTTAGGACAAAAATTTCTAACATCTCTTTTCTCTTTTCCCTGTCCAGCTTGAGAAAGAATTGTCAAAAAAGCTTGAAGAATTAGAAGGTAGAGTATTCATTCTATCAGTATTTTCCCCAAATTTTTATGATCACTTATCTAATCAGTAGAAATCTGTCATATCCCTTGTTTTGGTCTTTTTGGCAGTTATCCATTGTCCTAGAAGAAATCTATTGCAAGATATTATAAACTATTAGCCCAGTATCAGATTTCCCTTTAATAGCCATGAATCAACATGTTTAATGTTAATCATAGGAAAATCTGAGTACAGTTGTCATCTATTATGGTGTTAGTTTATCTGGAAGATTGTTCATTCCAACTAATTACCTAGTTAATGTCATGTATTTGCCTCACTGGAGAATCCTTTCTTTAGCCAGATTAACTGTTCTGCCATCCATGTTAATGGAAGGCAAAGCTAATAACATCTCAGTGCAAAAGCATTTATGCCTTTACTTGGTGGGGGAAATTGAGACAATTACACATGTGCTGCTCATTCTATATGGCCTGGTGCACAGACTTAATAATACATGTTCTGGTAGGTGTTGCTTAGAAGGATTTTTAAAGTCTTTCTATAGATTTTGGGTTTTTAAATTAGCAGACAAGACAGACAGACATGCTTTTAAAATAGGCTAAAGAAGTAGGCTAAATCTAAATTGATTTTAATTGTTAGAGAGTTTCATTTTTCCATTCTTTCCTTTTTTATTGTCCTTTTTTATATGTAACTGACAGATGGTTTTTGACTGTAAAGTTTATTTTCTTTTCCTTCATTTCAATTATGTCCAATTTCCTTTGCCCACTAGTGATTTTTCTGTTTCTGGCAGGTGAAATAACAAGCTATCAAGATGAAATAGAGAATGAATTAGAAAATAGCCGGCCGAAAGCAAAAGGAGTTTATGCAAATTATAGCAAGGATGGTAAGTTGATCTGAAATCCATTAATCAGGAATATGCTTAAATGGGAAAATGATTGTATGGCAGTTTGGTAATAGAGGCATACATTCCACAAGATTGATTTAAAATAAGGCAAGAGTGGAATAATGTAAAAATAAGAATGCATCCTTTAATATAGCCACCTGCAACCTAGAATCTCAAGCTTTATTGAACTAAAATTTTCATCATTGCCAGCTATTGGAGAGGTGAGTTGGTGGGAAAGGGAGACTGAATGTAATCTATGCTAGTACTGGCTACCTGACCTGAGAATGCTGATTTCCTTCCCAAGTATCTTGAAAATGGAATTCCAACAGCTGCTAGAGGAAGGGACAGGGAAGGCGTGTGAGTTGGTGAGGGCAGGGTACTGCAACTATGCAGCTATGGAATTATGCAAGTATGATATATAAATAGCTTCATTTTTGTCCTGAGCCTTTTGGCAAATTCTCAGCTTTGCAAATTAACAAATACTTGTGTGATTGTGGCAATACAATATTTGATTTCACAATTTTAAATAAATAAAATAAGTGAATAAAAATCAAACACCAATATTTTTTATTTTTTTATAGCTGGGTGAAAATATTTTGGATCAAGAAATTGTTATTGTCCAACACAAAAAGTGAATTTTGGAAAGCTGAAAATGGTGGAGGCATGTAGTGAGTTTTAAATGGCTGATTGCCAACTCCTTGTACAGTTACTACAGAAAATCACTTGAGCTATACTATGCAAACACTTTTGTATAAAATTATAACATTTAAGAGAATGGTGTATGATTTTATTCATTGCAGAAGTGCTTCAATTTAACAGAACATTGTGGGGGGTTTGGGCTGGGGTGGCTGTGGCTTTGCATCATGCTGCTGGGATCGCCGAGATTTCCTGGGGTGCCTGCAATGTCATATCATGTTATACCATGGTATGTTATGCTGCTGGGCTGGGCTTGGGGTGGCTGTGGCTGCAGCTGAGCATGCTAAGAAGTCCCTGAGCTACAGCCTGGCAAGCCCCATAGCTGTGTAGTTCTAGGTCTGCTTGTCATCCTGCAGAGTGGGAACCAATTTCGTTGTATTTAAGTACAATGACAATAAAGATTATACTTATTTAGAATAGGCAGTTGGAAAGAGTTGAAGGAGAGGCAGGCTCAGAATTGGAAGGGACCAAGCCTAAAATGTCTTGGATTGGGGTGGGTAAATTGGCTAATGACCAGTGGAATCGGGTTAATGATGGTAAGGGAAGTGCTGGGATTGCCATCGCTAAGTGGTGTGTCACATGACATCACACTTCATGACTGCATTGCTTAGGAATGGAAGTTCCAGTCCCAATTGCTCAAGATCTCAAGATCTACCTTTTATATGATTTGAGTTGATCCTAACTCATGAACCCAAACTCTACTATTCCAGCAATTGCCTGCCTGCCTGCCTATCTCCCTGTCTGTTGTTTGAAGGTGCTTTCCTCAGCTCTGTTGCTGGTTTTAGGTTTATTGTATTTTAGGTTTATTCTGTCTTTATGTACCATTCTTGTTATGGCTTATAACAGTGATGGCGAATGTTTTTGGCACCGAGCGCCCAAACCGGAATGTACTGTTTGGACGCACTGGAGCCCCAGAAACTCAAAGACAAGCTGGCTGGTGCACATGTGTGTGCTGGCCACCTGGTCTTCTGGTTTATGGCATGTGCATGCATGCCGGCCAGCTGCTCTTTGTGCGCCAGAGCCCTGGAAACCTGAAGACCAGTTAGACAGTGTGCATGCACGCACCAGCCACCTGGTCTTCTGGCTTCTGGTGCGCACATGTGCACCAGCCAGCTGTTCGCATGTGCCAGGGCCCCCGAAATGCACACTGGCCAGCTGGTCTTTGTGTTTCCGGGGCTCTGGCACGGTCGAAGATCACCTGGCCGGTGTGCATGCACGTGCCAGAAACTAGATGAGCAGCTGGTGGGCTCTGTGTGCCACCACTGGCATGTGTGCCATAGTTTCACCATCACAGGCTTATAACAAACAGTGACATAAAGATAGCCAGAACATTGCCAGCAACTCCATGTGCTTTTGCATGTCAAGAAAGACTTAAAGCCAGTCTCTTATTATTTACAACGAGAGAGAGAGGTGAGAGAGGGGAGTTTGGGACGCAGGGACGCAGAGGGACGCTGCCTGTTGCTGGCCACCGACATTGCCGGCCGTGGTTACCATCTTATGCCGCCTAACATCGCGGCTTGAACGGAAGGAACTGGTGGAGACCGTGGAGATTAAAGGAGAACTAAGAGAGAGTTGGTGAGGGGGAAATTGGCCCCTGGGACAGAGTTGAGGGAAGGTGGAGAGTCCTGTGATTCAGAGCTGGCAGCGGACTGGCAAACTTTAATTTTCCGAGCTGCCAGCCTCCATAGACGCCAACATTGTTGGCTAATGAAATTGACCACCTTGGACTTGTTTTTGACACGCTGGGCCCTA